CAAGGGAAAACTCTATGGTTTTCCCTCGTATGGCCGTGGCCCCATCCCCAGCGTGCCTGGCGTCGTCACGTCACTTCCGGGTGACGTGCATGCAGTGCATGCGCACAATCGACGCTGGGCGGGAGCCCCCCGCTCCTGGCGAAAAACGACTTGACAACCCTGTTACACAGAGCAGCAGCCCGGAATTGAGTCTCTCCAATCGAAAGGACTAGAGGTGACACTGGAGACGGGGCTGCTTCCTCTGCTGCTGAAAGAAGAGCAGCAGGTGCAGCCGGGGTGTCCCCCACCGGATTTCCCCATGCCCCACTAACCGAAGTTTTCCGGCTACACTTCTGTGTGAGTCACTGCTTCAGAACTAAATAACCGAGCAGTGAGTCATGAAAGCTCATACCCTAACCAAAATTTTTTTTGTGAGCCTTTAAAGTGCTACTGGACTCTTACTCTTTTCTACTGTATAGGCTGCCGTTCAGTTACAGATTGATTCTCGTCTTTACATGAACGGTTGCAGGCAGAGTTGCCAGGCAGTGCCTGCCAACTGGTGGGGAAAGTTGTGGGCAGGGAAATGGGGGGGGCCCTGCGACACCAGCTGCAGCGCCACATCACGTCTGGTAAAAAAAAAGGGAAGTGACATAGGTACCTGTATCCAGAGGAGTTTAGCCATGTCAGTCTGTTGCTGCAAAGCAGTAAAGAAACTCAGTAGCACCTTTAAGACTAACAAACTTTATTGTAGCATCTTGCATCTGACGAAGAAAGCTGCGTTTCTCAAAAGCTTATGCTACAATAAAGTTTGTTAGTCTTAAAGGTGCTACTGAGCTTTTTACTATTTTATAGGTACCTGTAGGAATTGCCGGAAACTCTGTTGTAAAAGTAAAACCATAGAGTTTCCGGCCATTCCTAGAGCGACCTATGCCACTTTGGGGTTTTTTTTAGGGACAGTGATGTGGCACCATATGTGTCACTGCAGGGTTTTAATTTTAATTTTCATGCTTTCCCTCTTCTTTCCACAGTATCCACAGCTGTTTACGGGCATCCTTTCTCCATGGAAAGGACTGCTCCTGTATGGACCTCCAGGTAACTGTCTGCACAGCTACGCACGTGAACCCAGCCCTGCTACTGTTTCAGCCTCTGTCTTCTCTGAACTTGACTTCATTCACAAGTTCAGAACAACGGACCACTCCCAGGGCTGAATAGGGACATAGGAACACTTAAAGCAGGAGCTGAGAAATCTCTGTAGAATCTCCATGTGGACTCTAATCTGGGAGAACCGGGTTTGATTCCCCACTCCTCCACATGCAGTTGCTGGTGTGACCTTGGGTCAGTCACAAGTTCTGTCAGAGCTGTTCTCTCAAGAGCAGTTCTCAGTCAGAGCTCTCTCAACCCCATCTACCTCACAGGGTGTCTGTTGTGGGGAGGGGTATAAATCCAATTTCCTCCTCCTCTTCTTCCTCCTCCTCTTCTTCTTCTTCGTCTTCTTCTTTACTGTGTGACTGAAGGTAAACCATTTTGTAGCTGGGTCTGCCTTTTGCAGCAGCCGTTTTTTGACAGCAATTTTTGTGGTCACCACCATGCTAGAACTCCAAAGGTGCCCACAGGCTCAAAAGGGGAGGGGCCATGGCTCAGTGGTACAGCACCTGGTTTAGCATGCCAAAGGCCCCAGGGTTCAATCCCCGGCATCTCCAGTTAAGAACCAGGCAGTAGGTGATGTGAAAGACCTCTGTCCGAGACCCTGGAGAGCCGCTGCCAGTCTGAGTAGACGATACTGACCTTGATGGGCCAAAGGTCTGATTCAGTATAAGGCGGCTTCATGTGTTCATGTGAAGACCCCTACATAATACATAACACATGATGTGCGTATGTATGTGTGTGTGGGTATACACACATGTACCAATAGGAAGGCAGAGAGGAAGTGTTTAAAATAAATAATAGCGCAGGCATCACTGCCAGCAGGAAGGAATCAAAAGGAATACATTTTGTTGGCATTCTAAGTTCAAGAGTCAAGATGTTTCGTTTCCCACTCCTTCCAGGTACCGGGAAAACGCTGCTCGCCAAGGCGGTTGCCACGGAATGCAACACCACCTTCTTCAACATCTCCGCTTCCACCATCGTCAGCAAATGGAGGGGTGATTCGGAAAAGCTAGTCAGGGTAAGAACCATTTCCAGTTTTGATTCGAGAGCTATTATTGCCTTAAATGCTGTATGAAATTGGAATTTGGGTGACATTGGTGGTTTTAAGTTGTTATGTGAACCTTAAGGGAGTCATGGGACTGTAGTGAATGGTGTGTGAGTGTATATGAGTATTGTTGTAGATCACCGAAATGATTGCATCTTTAATTTCGTTGTACTATGTACAATGACAATAAAGTATATTATTATTATTATTGTTGTTGTTATTGTTGTTGTTGTTATTATTTTGTCTTTGGGACTTTCCTAAGGTATGTGTAATGTATTCTAAGTCTCCATTAACGTGTTCAGTGTAGTGCTAGCTAGCATTTTGTAACTTGTGTTATCAAACTCTGTATTTATTCGCTTCCTTTATACTCCTACTTTCTCCCCCGTGAGAATCCAGAGCTGCTTAAATCGTTCTCCTCTCCTTCGTTTCTTTCCTCACAGCAACCCTGTGAGGTAGGTTAGACTGAGAGTATGTGACTGGCACCAAGCTCCCATGGCAGAGTGGGGATTTGAACCTGGGGCCCTCAGATCCTAGTCTGACTGTAGTGGGTCTCACGGTGATGCTTGTGGGTGTGTATCAAGGGTTAAAGCAGATGAAATGCTGGGCAGAAATAAATTTTCGCAGTCAAAGGACAATTTCTGCAGAAATTTAAATTAATAATGTAGCGCTGGGTATAACACGAGATGTGGAATGGTACGGTATAGCCCGATCCCGTCAGATCTTGGAAGCTAAGCAGGATAAAAGAGGAGATTGGATTTATACTCCGCCTTCACTACCCAAAGGAGTCTCAGGTCCAATCTGCATTGGTATTTCCCACCGTTGTGCCAATAATCTCACATCGTCTCGCAAATTTCTGTCTGCATTTCATGTCGCATCCACTCTCCTATTGTTTCATCATGAGCCAGTTTGGTGTAGTGGTTAAGTGCACAGACTCTAATCTGGGAGAACTTGGTTTGATACCCCACTCCTCCACTCGCAGCTGCTGGATGACCTTGGGCAAGACGTAGCTCTGATAAGAGCTGTCCTTGAAAAAGAGCAGTTTCTGTCAGAGCTCTCTCAGCCCCACCTGCCTCACAGGGTGTCTGCGGTGGGGAGGGGAAGGGAAAGGAATTTGTAAGCCGCTCTGAGACTCCCTTGGGGAGTGAAGGGCAGGGTATAAACCCAATCTCTTATCTTCTTCTTCTTCTTCTACCTCACAGGGTGTCTGTTGTGGGGAGGGGAAGGGAAAGGAGTTTGTAAGCCGCTCTGAGACTCCCTTGGGGAGTGAAGGGCAGGGGATAAATCCAATCTCTTCTTCATCTCAGCATTGGCTGTCTGCATTATTTTGTTGCCATTTAGTGGTGACTCCGAGGTCACTACGACGTCTCACTGCCTTACCTGAATGTGGTTTTAAGGTGGTACAACTGCTCCTCCCCACCGTTGAGCCGCTGTGAGTGAAAAGCAGGCGACTAGAGCTGAATTCCCCCCCCCCCATCTTTTCTAAGGAGATACGCAAATTGTCACAAAGAAAACAAGTTTGCTGAAAATCCAGTCGTCTGAGTTTAAAAGCAGCCAGGGAACATATTTCTGCAATCATATCCGGGGGGGGGGGGGTGTTGGAAGCATGCCCACCCCTGAACCATTTGTTATTTCCTGAGGCAGTCTCCAGAATGCCCCTGCCTGGCAACTGCGGGTGTTCGGGGTTTTTTACCCAGCTCATTCTGTCTTTCCTGCCCCCCCCCACTCCCCCTCTTCCAGGTCACCCTCCTTTTACTTTCTGTATGTGGTGGGGTTGTAGGTGCCGCTCCCCCCCCCCCCCCCCCCTCCCCCTAAAC